TCGGTGTGCAACGTCGACTCAGCTCAGGCGAATTTCACAAACCGAAAAATATCTTCGTTTTTCTAAGTCGACATAACGCATGCAGGAGAGTCGACTTAACATATGGAGGAAACTCGACTTCGCACAGGCAATTTTAAAATCAAACAACTACACAGCGACAAAATGTTTCCTTTTCTAAGTCGACTTAACGCATGGAGGGAAGTCGACTTAGAAAAACCAAAATTTGTTTGGACCCTATATTCTATCGATTACCGAATCGCCTGTGCTAAGTCGACTTCTCTCCATGTGTTATGTTGTCGAGTATCGTTTGAAGCTAACTGAAGGTGTGCGGAATCTGTTCTCACTTTTATTTGACTCTGCACCTTGAGTCTTGATGACTTATGAAAAAAAATCTCTGGTTTCAATATATTTTTGTTCCACAAAGGTTTTCCGTCTAATAACTGGGTTTTAAACATATAGAGGAGTCGGCATGAGAATAAAATAAAAATAATATTGCTTAAGCCATACGTTTTTGTCGATGGAAGTTCACTTCAAGTCGACTTGCTTTGATTATATTAGCCGACTTATACCACAAAAACAGTTTTTCAAACCAAATCTATCGGAATTTTGTTGCCTGCTGAGCCGACGTCCCCCGTTGAAATCTTTTTTAGTATAATATCTCATAAAAAAAATACCTGTCCGGCGTTTGTCGGCATGAAAGTTAGAGACTTTGTCTGGTGATGAAGTTTTATTCGCGAATTCTACTCAGACACACCGTCTTCTCTCGGGAGCGAACGCAGTATCTGTTTGAGTCTTTGGTTCATTAGACGAATATTAGTTTTCGCTTACCTATTTCATGAATATCCACGAAAATATTCTTATTAAAATATTTCACAAATGCAGATTCCCAATTAACTTGCATATTATTCAATTCCGATTGAAATTTTTCAAATGAATTTAATGAAAATAAATATTTGCAATCTTTGATCATACGACAGGCCGTTTCTCTTCTCTTTTCTTTGACAAAAATAATTTCTTGCTTAAACCAGTAATCGTGTTCCAGCAATATTTGACCATAAATGTTTGTATCCTCATTACTATAACTGTTCGTAATATTGTCTATTGCTTCATCTTCCATTTCTACACTATCGTTCAACGTTTCATTGTTATCATCTGTAGTGTCCGATTGGTCCGGTAATACTTGTACTTCAGTATCATCAACTATAATAAAAATATTTCACTTCGACTTCAAAAAACAGTTTGTTCACACAACACACACACTTTTTTCTTCTTGTTCATCATCGGTAGGCGACGGTTTAGCTGAACGAAATTTTAGTATATTTTTATAAATATTACGATAAATATGTGTGCGACAGCGCAGTTGTTTCATCGCTGGACTAAAAACAAAAATCAAAAGTAACTGAGTGAGGCTCTCTTAGAAGACCGATAAAACACTTACAAAGTTTCATAAAACGCATTCTTGAACGCTCTTTCGTCGTCGGTTATAATATAACATTTTTGTTCAATCAACCAGAAAGAATTACTTGTCATCAAATTCATGCAAATCCTGTGGTGCAATCAGAAACACAGAAGGCACTGCTGTCAGCTAGTGGAATATATAAAGGTTGATACTTTCTGGAAGTTTTCCCACGTCCGAATCATATCTTCGCTTCGCTACAGAGTTTTTGCTAATCACCGCATTTTTGTATCTTCGACCAGCCTTTTTCTAAAAATGTTATTTTTTTGACATTAAAAGTAGTGGAGACTTTTTTTATGGCTTTATTCGATATAATAAGTACCCTAGTCGAACATCTTGGAACCAAGATCTTGACATCTTAGATTTTTTCGAAAAGATCTTGGCAAGATCTTTGGTACAGGATGTCAAGATATTTTTGTTCCTAAGATCTTACCCATGATCTTGCATACAAAATCCTAAAAATTATCTTGTATCCAAGATCTTGACTATAAAATGACTTGTACCCAAGATCATGGCTCGAGATCTTTGATACAGAAATATTTTGACATCTTGTACCAAAGATCTTTGAGTAACCATTGGTTATCATTCACCGTCTTATTTTGGCGATGTC